GGGAACGTGCGGCCGCGCATCTCCGGGTTGTAGCGCCAGTGGAGGAGCAGCTCCAGGTCCCCCCGGTCCTTGTCCGCGAGGTCGTGGCCGTCCGTGAGCGCGAACCAGCGCCGCAGGGACTGGCGCTTCTTCAGGTCCTCCATGGAGATGCGGCACTGGCCCATGAAGTCGTGGCCGCCCATGACCTCCGTGTCGTGGATCTCCACGACGAGCTCGTCGGAGATGTCGTCGGCGTCCCAGGCCATGCGCTCGATCCACCGCGGGTTCAGCGTCTTCTTGCGCACGGACGACTTCTTCATCTTGCCGCAGCACGTCAGCTTCGCGTAGGGGTCGCAGGAATCGCCGCGCGACTTCCGGTCCTCGACGTGGAGGTTCCGCGCGCGGATCAGCACCACGAAGAGCTCGTTCGGCGACTCGTGGACCTGGTCGTCGATGGCGCCCTCCTCCGGCAAGTTCACGTCCAGGAAGCGGTTGTAGCACCAGCGGAAGACGAGCTCCATGCGCCCGAGCGCCGCGTCCGCGCGGCCCTTCTTGTTCTCCAGGAGGAACCACTTGCGGAGCGGCAGGCGGTGGGCCAGGATGCGGATCGGCACCGTGACCTTGCCGTGGAACTCGGGCTGCGTCGTGCTCTTCGCGCCGTCCTCGACGGTGCAGACGACGGACAGCGTCGGGTCGTAGACGTCGTCGAAGACGACGCGCTCGTCGAAGTCCGGGTTCAGCGTCCGCTCCACCTTCTTCGTGCGCTGGGGCGCCAGGGACCCGATCTGGAGCTTGACCTGCGGCTCCGACGAGCCCGCGGGCTTCGCCGACGCCGCGCTCCCAAAGTTCCGCGCGGACCCGCCCTTCGACAGGCTCCGCGAGCTCGACGCCTGCTGGAGGAAGCCGCCGCCGTGGTGCTCCGCGGACTGGAGCCCCCGCGCGCGGACGACGTGGATCTGGAGCTGGTTGAGCTGGAGGTGCTCCGGCGCGGGCGGGTCGAGCTCGAAGTCGTAGGGGAAGCCCTTCACCTTGGGGCTGTGGCGCCAGTGGAGGCACACGTCCAAATCGCCGCAGGTCTTCGACGGCTTGCCGCTCTTGTCGGCGAGGCGGCACCACTTGCGCAGGGGCTTCCGGCTGCTCAGCGACTTAACGGGGATCGTGAGCGTGCCGAGGAGCTCGTCGGGCCGGTTCGCGATCGCGTTCTTGTCGTAGACCTCGAAGCAGATGTCGGCGTTCCAGTCGTCGCACTCGAAGGCGTAGGTGTCGACCCAGACGGGCGACGCCGTGCCCTCCTTGACGTCCGACCTCTGGGGCTCCCACGTGCCGACGTACGACTTCACGTAGGGGTTCACGCGCTTCGCGTTCGCGGACCCGCCCAAAATCGTCCCGCGGCCGCCGCCGTCCTTGAGATTCTTCGCGCGGATGAGCACGATGCCGACCTCGTTGGGGTCCTCCGTGCCGATGTGGGGGTCCACCGCGTGCTCCTCGGGCACGTCGACGACGGCGAGGTCCGGGTTGTGGCGAAACGCCGTGAAGAGCTCGAGCGTGCCCCGGTCCAGGTCCGCTTTGCCGTCCTCGCCGACCAGCGGGTACCAGTGGCGCACGCAGCGGCCGCGGAAGTCGCGGTGCTTGGCGAGGTTGACCTTGCACTGGCCCATGAACTCGCGCGTCTCGTCGGAGACGACCTTGGCGTCGACGTCGTAGACGACGACGTCGACGTCGTCCCCCGACTTGTCGTCCTTGAGGTAGAAGGTCTCCTGCCAGGCCGGGTACAGATTCTTCTTCACGGACTGCGTCCGCTGCTCCGGGCCGGCGCCGAGGCGGATCGCGACCATCGGGTCCGACGAGCTCGTGCCCCCGAGCAGCGACGTGTCCACGGCGAGCAGCCGCTTCGCGCGGATGACGGTGATCGTGAGCTCGTTGGGCTCCAGCCCCGGGAAGGGGTCCGCGTCGGACCCGGGGGGCAGCTTGTACATGAACTCCGGGTCGTGGCGCCACGCGACCCAGACGTCGATGTTGCCGATGCGCTTGTCCGGGTGCGTGAACTCGACGTAATCCAGGGGCGAGTGGTCGTGGCGCACCTTGGGCCGCTGCGCCGCGAGGTCCTTGGACGACTGGTGGCGCGTGCCGTCGAGGTTCAGCCGCTCGTGCTCGTCGTGGTGCGCGGGCTTGTGGTGCTGGGCGGCCGGCGCGTCGCGGTCCGCGCCCAGGGCCACGACGCCGCCGCGGCGCTTCTTCTTCGACTTGAGCATGGCGCCGCGCCGCGTCGACTGGCCGCGGTCGTCGTCGTCGCTGCTCTCCTCGGCGACGTCGAAGGGCGCGGGCGCGGGCGCCGGATTCGCGCCGCCGGGCGGCCCCAGGGTCGGCGGCAGGACCGTGCCGACGGGCGGCGGGCCCGCGCCGTCGCCGGGCGCCGACCCGAAGGTCTCGAGGCTCGAGATGGAGCGGTCGTCCCCCTCGACGGCCGGCGGCGGCAGCGGCGTCGGCGGCCGCTCCGTGTCCAAATCGAGGACGCGCTCGTACTCCGCCGGCGCGATGGACCCGCCCAGGGGCAGCCACCGCCGCACGGGCGCCTTGTTCGCCAGCAGCGCCAGCGGCAGCCGGATCTCGCCCATCTTGTCGTCCGCGGACGCGACGTCGTGGTCGAAGACCGTGAGCACCAGATCCGACGTCTCGTCCTCGACGGGGCCCAGCGTCAGGATCTCCTTCCAGCGCGGCTCGAGCGTCTTCTCCTTGACGGACGTCTGCGCGACCTGGCCCTCGCAGGACACGCGGACGTAGGGGTCCGAGGAGGTGGCCTGTCCGGTGAGCGACACGTCGACGGCCTGGAGGCCCTTGCCCCGCGCCACGAAGACCTGGAGGCACGTCGGCGGGAAGCGCTCGTCGATGAAGGGGTAGCCGTCCACGAAGAGCTCCGTGGGCACCTCGAGCTTGAGCGTCGACGTGTAGCGCCAGATCGTGTAGATCTCGAGGCGGCCCCGGTCCTTGTCGCGCTTGCCGTCGGCGCCGCTGAGCGTGTACCAGCGCCGCCGCCCGCACCGATCGAGGAACTTGTCCATGGGCACCTTCATCTTGCCCATGAAGTCGTCGGCGCCGACCAGGTCCTTGTCGAAGACGGAGCATTCCAGGAACGCGTGCGAGTACGGGTCCACGGGGATGCGGACGACCTCGAGCCAGAGCGGTTTCGTCGTCTTTTGCTTCGTGGCCGTCGTGAAGACGGAGCCGTCGCACTCGAGCTTGACGTAGGGGTCCGACGTGCCCGGCTTGTTGCCGAACATCTTCGTGTCCATGGCGAGCAGCCGCGTGGCCCGGATGACGACGACGATGAGCTCGTTCGGCGCCTCGTCCGCGTGGCGCTCGGGCTGCTTCGTCAGCTGGAGCACGGACGTCGGCAGGTCCACCATCAATTTCCCGTTCGTGCGCCAGGCGGCGAAGAACTCGATCTCGCCCCGGTCCTCGTCCGCGCGGCCCGACTCGCCTTCCAGTTTGAGCGTCATCCGCTTGAGCGCCTTGTCCTTGAGGTCGCGCATCTTGATGTGGACCTGGGCAGCAAAAGAGAGATTCAACGTCGCTTCAACGTGAGTGTTCCGCGCGCGCGCGTTCCGGAATAATCATCCACGCTTCGAGACCGTTCCGAGAGATGATCGCTCGTCCAAAATTCAGCCGAAACGAGTGGAAAACGGCCGAGATCGGAGCCTTTGAAGTCGGGAATGTCGCTCTCTTTTGCTGCCCTGATGTTCACGCGGCCCATGAAGTCGTCCTTGCCCAGGTCGTCGTGGTCGAAGACCGTCAGCTTCAGGGACGTCTTGCTGTCGAAGGCGGGGAACTTGAAGGTCTCGAGCCAGACGGGGTTCAGTTCCTTCCGCTTGATCGTCGACTTGGACGTCTCGCCGTCGCAGCTCAGGGTCACGTAGGGGTCCGACGACCCGCGGCCGAAGAGCGACTTGTCCATGACCTTCAGCCCCGAGGCGCGCATGAGGACGACGTGGAGCTCGTTGGGCGGCTTGTCCGGCTGGTTGTCCAGCGCCGCGATGTCGACGCCGGGCGGCAACCCGGCGGCCGCGTTCTCCGCCTCGCGCTTCGCGACGCCGGCCTCGCTGAGGTCGTCGTCGTCGACGGCCTCCTCGATGGCCTCCTCGGCCGGCGTCTCCTTGCCGTCGACGTCGACGAGGTGGTCCACGGACGCCTTGCGCCCCTTCTTGGCGCCGCGGTCGTCGCCGACGGCGTAGCGGGCCCAGGCGACGCGGACGGCGCCGGAGACGCGCTGCATGTCGCCGACGCGCTCGAGCTTGAACCAGTTGTCCTGCACCGTGCCCGGCGCGAGCATGGCCATGGAGAGGTAGGCCGTGCCCAGGTTCGTCGCGGGCTTGGCGCCGAAGAGGCCGCGGTCCTGGTCCTGGACGACGACGCGGAGCTTGAAGCCGACGACGGTCGCCGGCAGCGGGAACTGGAAGCTCTGCTTCCACTGCGGAACCAGCGTCTTCTTGATGGTTTTCGACTTCTGGGGCTTGCCGTGGGGGTTGTCGTACTGGTCCAGGAGCTGGAGCACCGCGAAGGGGTCGGACGTGCCGCCCTTGTCGACGGCGAGGAGCTCCTTGCCCTCGACGAGCGTCACCTTGAGCACGCCCGCGCTGCTCGGCCGCGCGGCCGGCGGCGTCGCGGGCTTCGGCTCCTGCGGCTTCCACCCGGGAGCCATGGCTCGTGCGGGCTGCGGTCAGGGCGCCGCTTCCATCTCGGCGGCGCTGCCCATCGTTGTTTCCCCTGCACGATGGACCTGTGATGCGACGTTGAAGTCTGCGGCTGCGACGGCGTCACTTACGACGTCCTAACTACGCCGTAACGACGCCTCCCCGGAGACGAAGCGGAGCCGCCGATTACCGGGCGACCTCGGCGCGCGGCGGCGGCGCCGCCGCGTCCCGGGGCGCCTCGTCGAAGATCGCCGGGCCGCCCTCGGCCTCGCGGTCCGCCGGCGGGACCCACTCGCGGAAGGGCCAGCGCGCGAGGACCTCGTCGTCGAGGGCGTCGGAGACGCCGAGGTTCAGCTTCTCGATCGCGGCCCAGGCGACCATGGCGCCGTTGTCCGTGCAGAGCCGCGGCGCGGGCACCGCGAGGGCCCAGCCGCGGGCCTCGCAGAGTGCGCCCACGCGGCTCCGGAGCTCCGCGTTCGCCGCGACGCCGCCGACGAGCGCGAGCGTCGGCGCGCCGCCGTCCGGCAGGTCGCCGGCGACGGCCTTGAAGGCCGTCTTCAGCCGGTCCTCGACGTGGGCGATGGCCACGCGTTGGAACGACGCGGCGAAGTCCGCGGCGTCGCCGTCCGGGAGCCGCGCGCCCTCGCCCAAGCCGAGGGCCTCGCGCCGCTCGTTGATCTGCACGCGGAGCGCGTTCTTGAGCCCCGCGTAGGAGAAGTCGCAGTCCTTGCGCTGGCGCATGGGGACGGGCAGGGCGATCGACGCCGCGTCGCCCGCCCGCGCGACGCGCTCGACCGCGGGGCCGCCGCCCGTCGGCGCCGCGAGGCCGAGCATGCGCGCGGCCTTGTCGTAGGCCTCGCCCAGCGCGTCGTCCAGCGTCCCGCCGAGCACGGCGATGTCGCCGACGCCCCGGATCCACAGGAGCTGGCAGTGCCCGCCGGACACCAAGAGGGCCAGGAACGGGAACTCGGGCCGCGCCGACGCCGGGTCCGGCAGCCGCGAGATCAAGCAGTGGGCCTCGAGGTGGTGCATGGCGACGAAGGGCTTGGCGTGCGCGTCCGCCACGTCCACCGCCTTGCGCGCGCCGACCCGCAGGCAGATCTCGAGGCCGGGGCCCACCGTCGCCGCGACCGCGTCGACGGCGCCGACGCCGTCCAAGCCCGCGCGCTCCACGGCGAGGGCCACGACCTCGTCGATGGCCTCGGCGTGGGCGTCGCGCGCGAGCCCGGGCACGATGCCTCCGAACTGCGCGTGGATCTCGTGCTGCGACACGACCGCCTCCCCGAGGATGGCCCCGTCGCTCCGCACGACGGCCGCTGCCGTGTCGTCGCAGGACGTCTCGATGCCCAGCACGCAGTAGGGGCGCTCCAGGTTCGGCAGGCCCGACGCCGCCGACGCGCCGCTGATCGACGGCGCGGCGAGCCCGATCCCGTCGTACACCGCCTTGGCGCGGCCCCGCTTGAACGTCGGGCGCTCCGTCCGCGACGCCATCGTCACGCATGAACGACGGAGCGCCGATGACGACCGCATGGCGACGAGAACCAGCCAAAAACACCGCGTTGGCGCGGCCATCGGCCTTCGCCTGATTGTAGTTGAAGAAGAGGCGTGTTTTCTTGAACCTCTTGCCACAAGGCGCCGCCGTCGTGGCACCATCAATCGTCCGTCGGCGTCGGCAAACGCTCGAGAAACGAGGCCAATTCAGCCTGCAATCGGCGTCGAAGAGGCGTCGAAGAGCTAGCAGTCGGTCAGCAGAGCAATTCGTCGCGTCGCGCGCCAGCAATCGTCGCAGCAAGTCAGCGGACAAGGTCCTTGCAGTCGGTCAGCCAACGATCGCGAACGATGGCCTTCCACGACGGCAGCGACCCCACGCTGGGCTACTCGCGCTTCCTGAGCTGCGAGGACCACAGCTGGGCCGCGGGAGCGCACACACTGCGCAACCCGCTCGCCACCGTCAGCAGCGTCGTCATCCTGCTCTGCCCCGCGGCGGCGACGGCCGCGTGGGTGTCGCACGCGGAGCGCCGCGCGGCCCTGGCGTTCTGCGCGCCGCTCTGGCTTTTGTTCCTGCACAACCTCTACCACCACGCCATGGGCCCGCCGTGCGTCGACATCGAGGGCTTCGCGTCGCTGCTCCTCGCGAACAGCGTGCACATGTTCGCGCCGGCGCCGTTCCTCGGCCCCGGCGTCGCCGCGGCCGTCGCGGCGTCGGCGGCGGCGGACTGCCGCGCGGGCGCGGAGGTCGGCGCGTACCAGCTCGCGGTGAACAACGCGCTCACGGGGCTCTTCCCGCTCGTCATCTCGTGGATCGTCGCGCGCCGCGAGTCGCCGCGGCGCGCCGAGGAGCTCTACCTGCTGAAGAAGCTCTGGGCCTGCGCGGTCGCGCTGGCCGTGGCGGGCCTCGCCGTGGAGCCGAACTTCTGCGGGGCCGCGGGCATGAGCTGGTGGCACCCGACGGTCGTCCACTTCGCGATCACGCTCTTCTTCACCTGCTTCTCGAACCTCGTCTTAGTGGGCACGAACCCGGCGGCCGTCGACCGGCGCGTCCTCTACGACGCCGTGCGCACGCACGTGTCATAACTCGCCGTAGACGAAGCGCTCCCGGAAGTCGCCCCCGTCGACGACCCAGCGCGCGACGGCGCGCCCCGCGGCGTCCGTCGCGACGAAGACGTGGTCCGCGTACGTCTCCTGGAACTCCGTCGCGCCCGGCGCGACCGTCGCGACCGCGACGCAGTCGCCTTCCTCCGCCGCGGTGCCGCACCAGGACAGCGCGAGCGGCGCCGCGCCGTCGTTCGCGAACGCCGCCGTCGTCGCGCGGTCGCCGTCGATCTGCTCGTCGGTCATGTCGGCGAAGAGCAGCAGCGAGTACTTGGAGCCGCTCGCCAGCGGCGCGATGCCGTGCCAGACCGTGTTGTCGTGGACGACGGCCGCGCCCGTCCGCTGGGGGACGACGAGGACGCCGGCGGCGGCGTCCAGGAACTCGTCCGTCCAGACCTCGACGCCGTCGACCTCCGGCCCGTCGGCGAGGAAGAGGCCGCCGCCGGCGAACTGGGCGCCGCCGCTCCCACCGTCCTCCGCGCGGCCGTTGAGGAAGACGTTCAGCGAGTGGAGGTTGCCGTCCTTGTGCGCGCGCAGTCGGTCGCGCGCGCGGCCCGCGGCGTACTTGCGCAGGAAGATCCAGTCGAAGCGCGTCGGCGTGTCGACGCCCTTGGCGCGCTTCGCGCGGTCGACGAGCCCCCGCAGCCGCGGCAGGTAAGGCGCGACGAGCGCCATGACCTCCGGCGCGCGGACCTCGTCCTGCTCGAAGACCTCGAGCTGGACGCTCGGCGGCCGGAGCGAATCGTCGCGGTCGATGGTGTCCGGCGCGTAGCTGAAGCCCTGGCGCTCCGCGGCGTCGATGATGCGCGCGCAGACCTCCGGAGGCAGCGCGTCGCCTTCGAGGAGGTGCGGCGGCGCCGCGAGCGCGAGGGCGGCGGCGAGCGCCCAGCGCAGCATCGGTGTCCAGCGGCGCACTCACATCAGCATTGCCTCATGCTCGCTCGCGGCGTGTCATCGCAGCCTCGTCGACGCCTCCATCGAGCTCGGGGCAGCCTCTCGAGGCTGCCCCAAATCGAACCCGTATCTGATAAGATTACCTGTTTATAGACAGTTTGGTTTGTGTCAATCATACGAGCGACCATATCATTCGGAGAGCACCGCTTCCCGTCAGCTCAGCGAAGTTAAGCCGGATCGAGCTTGGTTAGTACTACGGTGGGTGACCACGTTGGAATCCCGAGTGTTGCTCGTTTTTTTTGCTTTTTTTGCCCTCAAGCAAGTTCAAAGACGTCCAGAATCGCCCCTCTGGCCTCGACGAAGATCCACACAAGAATCTTTACCCCCACTCGTCGGCGATGAAGCGCGAGAAGACCTCGTACCCCTTCGAGGGCTGGTAGGCCGGGACCATGTGGCCGGCGTGGTGCGCCGTGACGAACGTGATCTTGCGCGTGCCGTGGCCGAAGATGACGCGGTAGCCGCCGAGCTGGTCGTCGCCCACGCGCGGGTCGTCGTAGGTCCAGCCGCGCCAGTCGTTGTCCGCGGACACGTTCAGGAGCTTGTAGAGCCAGGACTGGGTGCCGATGGGCCCACAGACGGAGTCGTCGTCGCCGGAGAAGATCATCATGCGCAGCCCCGCGTCGAGGAGCGAGTTCCAGACCTCCTCCATGAAGTCGTCCTCCGTCGCGTACTTGACGGACCCGGAGCACGTCTGCCACTCGATGGACTCGGGCACGCCCAGCGCGGCCTTGACGTCGGCGCGGTTGAAGTAGTGGTCCGTGTAGTCGCCCGTGCACGCGTCGTAGCCGTAGAGCCCGTCCGCGGCCGTGTCGTAGAGCGCGCGCCGCCCGCTCGACAGCCGCCGGCCGCCCGCGTCCGCCGCGTCCGCCGCCTTGGCCCGCAGCGCGTCGTAGAGCGTGGGCCGCACGTGCTTCAGGAGCTGCGCCGCCTCGCCCCGGAGCTCGAAGCCGCCCGCGGGCGCCACGTGGTCGCTGCAGTAGCCGTAGTCGAGGCCGTAGTAGTCGATCCACGCGTCGCCGCCGACGTACTCGAACATGGCCAGACCCATGGTCTCGCACTTGGCCGCGTCGATGGTCGAGCCCGTGCACTCGTCGTCCCAGGCGTGGTACAGGGGGAAGGGGATCATGGACCGCCCCCAGTAGGCGCCGACCATGCCGCGCATGTTCTCGAGCGGATCCGTGTACGGATTCCCGACGGCCAGGCCCACGAGGTTCATGCCCGTCGTGTCGTGGTCCACGATGTACTGCGCCAGCGTGGGCACGTAGTGGCCGCCGTAGGACTCCGACGTCAGGTACAAGTCCGACGTCGCGAAGTGCGGGTGCCTCTGGAAAAAACCGACGAGCACGTCGTAGTTGTCCTTGGCGACGCTCTGGTCCCCGGACTTGAGGTCCTCGCCCGTCTCGTCCGTCGTGTAGGAGTACCCTACGCCCACGGGCGACTCGACGTACAACATGTTCGCCGCGTTGTTCCAGCTGTAGGGGAACGCCGAGAGCGTCGAGTCGCGCATGGGCCGGTACGGGCCGTGCTCCGTGGCGTACCCGAGCAAACCCGAGCAGCCCGGCCCGCCGTTGGACCACCAGGCCAGGGGCTTGGACGCCGGGTCCTCCGCCGCCAGGACCAAGAGGTAGAACATGTGCTTCGTCTCGGAGATTCGCACGTAGCCCGAGAACTGCACGGTCTCGTCGCCCGCCGGCGCGCCGGGCAGCGTCGTCCGCAGGTCGCCCGCCGCGGCCTCGGACAGCGGCGTCGCGAGCAGCGCCTCGACGCGCCGCACGCGCACCGCCGGCGACTCGTCCAGGGCCTCCGGCGCGTCGACGGCGCCGCCGCCGGGATGCACGAGGAAGAAGATGGAAATGAGGAGACCGGCGAGGCTCAGGACGGCGAAGCGCGCCGCGAGCCAGGCCTTCTTCTTCGTGCCCAGCAGCGGCTTCGTCAGGTCCTCCGCCATGGCGGCGGCAGCCCCTTGCACAAGACTGATAGCTGCAAATAGAGGGCCGTGCAGGGCTGCAGATCTGCAGGAATGACGACGCCGCTGGCGTAACCTGCGCCTAGCTCGGCTTGTGCGTGCACGCGCGGCGCCCCTTGCGCAATAGAATGCTAGAAATTGAACCGCGTTGCAGGGCAACTTTGACATTGGGTTGTGCTTATTCGCGCGCGGCGGCGCCGCGCGCGACGCTCGCCGGCCAGCGCCGCCGCTCCCACACGCTTCGCGCGCCACCCCGCGTCCACACACATTCACGACTTCGCTCTCGGTTGATGATCAAACAAAAAAATTAGATGACGATCAGAATCCTGGGCATAATTAACCCAATCCATATACGTGTCGATTTAAGTACGAGGCATTTGGCTGACGAGAGCACCTTCCCCCTCCCCCAAAGGCGCAGAATAGAACCCTGCTTCCCATCTCACCGCCCTCCCGCAGGCCATGACCTTCGACCCGCTCACCTACGCGGGGAACAAGACGGGGGTTACGACCGCGTCGAAGCCGATCGTCGACCGCGCGCGCGCGCTCGTCTGCATGCTCCGCGAGGACGCGCGCGCGCCCTACGTGCCCGAGGACCGCGCGCCGCTGGCCGCCGCCGACGCCGACGCCTGCAGCAAGCTCCAGATGGAGATTCTCTACGCGGCGAAGGGCCTGCTCGCGCTCTGCCACCAGGATCCGAGCAAGGGCCCGCGGAAGCACGTCGTCGGCGTGGCCAACGCGCTCCTCGAGCACCCCCTCGCCGTGGACCAGCTGCTCTGCTTCCTCGTGTGCTGCCCCTACGTCGGCGCGGGACCCGCGCCCTGGGCCGGCGAGGATTGCGAGGGCGGCCTGGACTACTTCGACTCGGCCAAGGAGAGCGCGGAGGCCGCGGCGACGTGCGCGCCGTCGCCGGCGCAGGCCGGCGGGGCCTACCGCGTCGCCATGGTCAAGGGGCCCGTGGGCCTGCTCCACGAGCTGCTCGCGCACGCGAACTCGCCGCTGCTGGGGGTGGTCGCCGAGAGCCCCTGGTGGCCGCGCGCCGCGGCCGTCTTCGCGCGCTTCGTCGCCGACGCCGGGGCGCCGGAGAAGCTGCCCGCGCTCCTCGCGTCCCTCGCGGCGTCGACGCTCGCCAAGCTCGCGCGGCTGCACCCGCCGGCCGCGCCGGCGGTCCGCGCGGCGATCCGCGGCGACGTCGGCGCCTCCGCCGCGCTCGCGGCGGCCGCGGGCGCGCCCGACGCCGACGACGCCGCGAGGCGCGCGCTCAAGGCGACCTGCGTCCGGCTCCTCGAGCTCTTCGCGGAAGGCGAGGAGCCGCCGCACGACCGCCGGTGCCTCGCGTGCGGCGCGGAGACGACGGCGCGGTGCGCGCGGTGCAAGGTCGTCTTCTTCTGCAACAACGACCGCAAGTGCCTCGCCGCCGTCTGGGCCGAGCACAAGGGGCATTGTGTGGCGGTGAAGGCGCCGTAAATTTTGTGTTTTGTGACTTGGGGCGTTCCGTTCTAGGTACCTGTCTAGCTCCCCTGGGTGAGTAGTTGACTCGTCTCCTTCTTACTCCGCGCCGCCGTCGTCCCCGCCGCCGAAGACCTTCGTGAGGCCGAAGATCGCGAGCGCGAGGAGCGACTCGAGCGCGATGGCCTTCGGGTACGTCTCCGCGAACTGGGCGTTGTCGCCTTTTGTCGGGTCCTTCTTGAAGCGGAACGCCGTGACGACGGTCGACGCGGCCTGCACGCGGGCCGCCGCCGCGGGCACCGCGAGGTCCTCGAGCGCGAGGCTTTTGGCCGGCACCGCGAGCGCGGGCCGCAGCGCGAGCGCGGGCGCGGCGATGATGGCCGCCGCGAGCGCGGACACGGCGGCCACGCGCGCGGTGCTGCGCTGGGTGGGTAATGCGTGTTCGTCATCGTTGGCGGCCGCGGCGTCTGTGGTGGGGCTGGCAGCCGCTGCGGCGCTGTCGTCGCCGTTTTTGGCGGCTGCGACGCCTTGGTCGGTGCGCACTCGCTGCGCTGCAGTAGCCATGGGTCTGGGCGTGTTCATGGGACTAAAAGCACGGACGTGCAGCGTTACGGCCAGCAGAAGAGCAAATGGACGGCCCATCGTGCCATGCAATGCGATTTTGTTGATTTCTATCATTTCTGCCACAAGAGATTTCAAAGCACGCAATGGACGCGCGCGGCGCTCCTCATGTGGGCGCCTTGCACCCTCCGTGCGTCATGTCCACCTTCGATCGCCTCCACAACGACGTGCTCGTCGAAGTTCTCGCTTTCCTCGACGTCGAGTCGGTCCTCCAAGTCGGCGGCACATGTCCTTCTCTGCGCAAAGCGACCTTGCTAGACCGCGTGTGGACGCCGCGCCTCGCAACAGCCGGGCTGGGGCGCTCCGCGCTCGACGCGAACGCGCTGACGGAGCTCGCGCGCTTTAGCGCTTGCCCGCGGCGGCTCTGCCTGCAGACGCTGCCGTGGCGTCCGAGGTGCGGCGCGGACCCGGAAGGCAGGACTTTAAGGATTCAATCCGCGTATAGCTGGCGCCCGTTCGCCGTGCCAGCTAGCCTTCGCCAACCAAGCGCTGCTCGAAACTTTATTTTTCTAGAGGTTTACGAAACGAGAGATGGCATGTCGAAGGATACGAACTTTGAACCGTCGGAGCTCGTGCGCGTGTCTCTTCCAACCGCTGAAACTCACGAAGCCAGTAGCGGCGATTGGTTCATTTCTGGCATCAAGAAATGCATCGCGTGGAAATTCGTCAGCCTTGAAAATTGCCTCTTTGGAAATCTGACGGACGCCATCCAATTGACCGTCCCTCTCGATATTGACTTTGGAAACGCGACAAGTCCGATCTATGTGGAAGCCAGAATTTTCATGCAGCTCGAAGGAACTTTGCTGCCTGTCTTGGACTCATGCTGCATGGAAGGGGACCCTCTGGGGGGAGGACGACAGTTGCGATACCAAGCGTCCGATTTTCGTGACACAGATCTGCAACTCAGCACGGAACTGAAATTGCAATATCAGAACGAAGACGAGTCGGCGATTCCCACACGCCTAACTCTGATTGAGCTCAAATGGCAACTGGAAGACGAGACTTTTGAGCCACATGTAGGGGACTTGCAGCTGCATGGTGGCATGAATGGGCTGATCGCCCATCACAACTCGCTCGCGATGAGAACCGCCTGTACAGTCAAAACAGGAGAAAGTTTCGAGTACACGTTCGCATGCGACTACGCGCGAGACAGGGCCAGCAACCTTGTTGACTTTGCCGTGCGCCATGAGACTGCCCGCGAGAAGTGGAAGGCCCGCATGGACGCCCAGCAAAAAGTCGAGTTGTGGGAAAGCAATGTAGAGCGCCGGAGAGCCAAGCTTGACAAGGCGGAGTGCGAACTACTCGCCGCACGAAGAGAGCTAGGCGCACTAAGCTAAGTTAAGCCCCATCCTCCGGCGCGAAGGCGAAGAGGTCGGGGAGCTCGCCGCGCGCGGCGCCCGTTGCGAGCACGGCCGCGATCATCGCCGGCAGCAGCACGACGAGCGCGGGCACGCCGCCCGCGTTGATGCCCGGCGCGAACTCGCAGGCGACGCAGCCGACCCCGAAGCCCGCGAGGGCCGCCGGGAAGTAGGCCGCGGCGCCGCCCGCGGCGTCGTAGCGCTTCGCGAAGCCCGCGACGAGCGCCGGGAAGACGCAGTCGCCGAGCCCCAGCACGTCCGACACGCGGCCGCCGATGCGCACGGTCAGCGCCCCCGGCACGAAGGCGTCGCCGAAGACCTTGGACGCGGCGACGGCGCCCATCGGCGACGCGTCGACGGGCGCCGCGTTCGCCAAACTGGGAAAGACCGCGAGCGCGTCGTAGGCCGCGAGGCCCGCGGCCGCGAGGAGGAGCGGGCCGAGCCGCGGCACGTGGAGCGCGCGCGCGACGCCCACCGCGAGGCACATGCAGAGGCAGTTCTGCGCGGGCCAGCTCTCCGCCGAGGGGAGGCCGTAGGCCGCGGCGACGAGGCCGACCGCGACGGCGGCGCCCGCGGCGTCCGCGGCGCCGCCGCCGAGGAACGCGCAGGCCGTCGCGGCCTCCAGTCGCGCGAAGGCGGCGAGGGCGAGGGCGTTCGAGAGCGCCATGAACGACTGTACGGCGCCCGCGGCGTCCACCGCCGCGGCGTCGCCGGCGTCCGCGGCGCCGCCCGCGAAGCGGAGCAGCGCGAGCGAGAAGACGAGCGACGACGCGACGACGACGGGCAGGGCGACGGCCTGCGCGTTCTCGTCGACGTCGTCGAGCTTCCGCAGCTCGCGGAGCGTGTCCCTCTGCCGCTCCGCCTCGGCGGGCGGCGCGGGCAGCAGCGCCGCCGTGAGCGCCTCGACGCGCGTGCCGAGGCCCGCCGGGTCCCCGGCGCCGCGCGCGCCGCCGACGGCGACGACGACGGCCGCGGCGCCGTAGATGTAGAGCCGCTTGTAGAGCAGCAGCGGCAGCAGCAGCTTCTGCGACAGGAGCACGGGGAACGCGGCCGACAGCGCCGGCACGACGCCGAAGAGCGCGATGGATCCCGCCGACGGCAGCGCCGGCGCGTCGTCGTCGTCCGTCGGCTGGGCGAAGCGCTGGGTAGGGCGGCGCGGCGAGCAGCCGTGATGCGGGGAGCTGCGGTGCGGCGAGGTGGGGTGAGAGCTGCGGTGCGGCGAGCTGCCGCGGTGCGGCGCCAATGGCTGCAACGCGGCAGTCAGCGACCCGAGCACGAACAGAAGTGCTGCTCGCGGCATCAGGCCTGCCGTGAAGAGTCGCTCTGGCTGTGGAGAGCTCAACAAAGAGCTCCGGCCATCACCGTGGCAGAGGTAAATGAGACCTTCAACCATGGTGCACCGTTCGGATGAGGGGAGAAGCAGGGAGAGCCTCTCTTTGGCATTTGCCGGCGCGCGCGCGGCCGGCTGTCCATGGTCATGGGCTGCGGATCGCGGCAGACGTGCCTCTGGTGTGCTCGGAACTGTGCTCCGTGACCATGGACACCCTGACCGTCATCCGGAATCGCTGCGCGAAGTTCGAGCATTTCGGCATGCTCTGCGAGCCGAAAAGCAGCCCATTTTGGGCTCTGGGCAGCGTGCTGGCTGGATCGGAGGCTCGGGGTACATGTCTGATACCCTCGGACTGCTCAGTTGCTGACTTGGCTCGAACGACGTGCGACACCGCGCGCGCGGGCGTGCGGGCGCGCGCGACGCGGTTTCAGCGCGAACACGTCAGATCGACTTCCTCGGGTCCGCGGGGCCAACCCTTGTGGCAGGGCGCTCTCGGGTCGACAGCGGACGATCCCTGCTGCTGCGCGGGGCTGCCCGGGCCGCTCACGGGCCGGGGGAGGGGCGTCGCGTCCGTCAAATCGGTCGCCCGAAGCCGCTTGTGTTCTCAGCGAGTCGCAATCCAAACGCTGCCGCTCCTTCGCGGATGGCAGCCC